AAAAACCAAAAAAAAAAAAAAAAAAAAGAAAATCATTCTATGATAATACAATGGTAAAATAACATCTTTCTTGTTATTCCATTCACTAGGAAAATAAAAATAACTGAGAAAATGTGTTTGACAATTTGCTAAAGTATTTTGTAAGCAGATATTATATATTTAGCATTTCATCTATACAGAATTATAAATATGATTTTTAAAAAATAAAATATCACTTAGTTCTATTGTTTATAATTAAAAAATAGTCTATAAGATAAAAAACATTTAAAGTTAGAAGGCTTCTTACTAATCAAGAATCTGTTAATCAAGTTCAGGTATTTTTTTAGAAAGCATGCATTATACTAAACCTCAATAAAAAGGAAAAGGATAAACTAGGCAAACACTAATAATACTTTCTACATAATTAACCAAAACTGGGAATATTTTCATATTAGAAATTTTCACTCTTTATAGCAACGTAAATTTTGTTCATACTGAAGAGACACTCATTTTTACAATATTTTGCATCGAGTATATACATATATGTAATATACATACATATAATCTGCCTTAATATACATCTGTGAACTAAAGTAGAGGACCATGGGATTGTCATTTCAAACATAAGAAACGAATTTTCAGCGAAGGGTCCATAGCACTGGTGGCTAATCTTACCACCAAGGACTCTTTTGTATGCTTTCACTTTCTCATTGGCCTATTATTATAAGATTTTACACTTACTGATTTATTAATTGAAATGGTTAAACAAGTTAAAAGATTAAGACTAAACTTTCAAAGAGAATTTTTTATAACCATGGAATGCATGGAATAACTGGGCTTTTCCAGCGTAAAATCCAGAAAAAGCAAAAAGAGTAAATGTTTAACCTAAGCATTAATCAACAGGTCACAGAGGACATGAGAACACTTTACTCATGGGCATGAATACAAATTATTAAAATAATGGCTTTCTAAAATTAAGTTAATAAAGTATATTCACCACATGGGTTGACTGCAGAGCTAAATGAAGAAGATCCAGTAGAAAGGCCGCCTTTTGAAACTGCTGAAGCCACAGAGGGTGTAGAAGATGAAGTTGGTGTAGTAGAGGAGGCTGTTGAAGACGGCAACCGTTCTCCAGACTCCATATCTATAATATAAAAATGTTAATCCTCAGTATTATAATTATTGAAAAGAATTAAACATATTTAAGCTTTTCATCTACTTTTAGATATAGGCATTTTTTGTTTTTGTTTTTGGTACAGAAATCGAACTCAGGACCTTGCACTTGCCAGCCAGGCACTTATGCCTTCACCTACTTTTAGAAATACAAAATACATTTAGGAATACATATACACCAGGAAGACAAAATATGAACAAAAATAGTGCTGTGGCTTGAAAATGGTATTTCCTCAATAAAAGTCATGTTGAGGTTTCATTCCTCAGTGTGGAAATATTGGGAGAAGAGGCTTTTCAAGAAGTGATTAAGTCCTTAAGAAGCACTGATGCCTTTTTTGTGTGACTTGGCAGAAGTAAGTAAATTCTTATTCTCTTGGAAATGGATTTATTCTTTGAAGAGCAGGCGGTTAAAAAGGGAGGCCCCTCCACATGATTAGCTTTCCTGGTCTTGAATTTCCCTGCCTTAAGAATTGTGAGCTACATGTGAATTTTTAGGGGATGATGTAACGAAAAATAAATTTGTTGGTACGAACAATGCAAGAAATATATGTCAAAGATGAAGGGGCTGTACATGATTTTATTCATTACAGATATTTCCCCTGATTTAAAGCAGTGGTTGTACACCACAGGCAATCTTGTAACATCCTTACTCCCTACTAAAGAACATTCATTTGGGAGACATATTTCATTGTCACAACTAAAAGAGCATTGAGTAGGGAGATTCTGGGATGTTACTGCATACCTACAATCCAGTAGAACCCCCCTCAAACACACAGAATTATCTAACCCAAAACATTAGTAATGATGAGGATGAGAAACCCTGATCTAAAGTATCAAAAACTATACTCAACTAGGGCTGGGGATTTAGCTCAGCGGCACAGTGCCTGCCTGGCAAGCACAAGGTCTTGAGTTCGGTTTCCGGTACCAGAAAAACAAAACAAAACAAAACAAAACTATACTCAACTAACCAACACCTTAAGTACTATTTCTATATACAGCTATAATAGTAAAATAATTCGAACTTATTTTGATGACACAAAGCCACTGAAGTAATAAAATTATATTCAATGTATCTTCTGTGACAGCATATGTTCAAGAGTCTAATATTTCATATTTCATCCAGAATGCTTAAAACTGATAATGTATAATGCCCAATTAACATACATCATAATGGGCATTGATACTTGGCAACATAAATTTGCTGTTCTTTTACTAAAATGATATTTACTGATAACAATCTTGAGAACAGACAAAAACAGGAATTTATGAAAATGACAGACCACAAATAACTTCTTCTCTGCATATGCTTTTACGTACTATAAAAGTCAACGATCAATTGTTAATGATACCTTTGTTCAAATGCATGAATATAAAGTATTCCTACCTTGTGTAATCATAGTTTATGAATACTGACAGCTGGTAGGCATAAACCTGAACAGGTGCAAATAAGGAGGGTGAGACATATTGGCTAACAAATGTAAACATGATCAGCTCCCGGTGTTTCAGTTTCACTAACCCTTTAGTATTAAAAATACAGCTACAGGGTGATGTAGCTCAGTGTCACAGCACTTAAATAGCATGGCCAAGGCAACTAAACATTTACACATACAGTATTTCAAGATATTAAGTAAAGCAAAACTAAGCAAAAACCAAAAAATTCTGTAGGAAATAAGAGATGGTAGAAATAGGAGATGAGGCAGAAATACCTTATTAGACAGCAGAAAAACTTATTCTCTGAATATGTTCATAGGAAAATGGTTCTATTTATAAAAGTTTTAGCTATCTACATTTTCAAAAAGTTATTTTAAGGAATAAGGTAGAGCATATTGTGATTTAAAATATAAATATATAAAAATGAACTGATTTTCTCTGTCACTTGACACATTTTAACCCCCACCGTAAACAATCAACCGATTATATACTGAAACAGAAGCCACTTGGCATCCAGGTGCTCTGTGCTCTAGTCTGTGATCTGGAGCAAGTCTGAGACTCCTCTAAATACTACTTTCCTTACCTTACAAATGATGCAATTGAATTAAACTAGCTCTCAAGTCCCTGTCAGTTTTATAAAGTTGGTGCTTAAAAACTAAGCTCTTTCTCTGAAAGCAGAAAACACACAAAATTTACACCAATTAAAATATTTAACAATTTAGTTTCATTTTTCCATTATCCTTCCTTTCTTTGGCCACAATTCTATCTCCAAATATATGGCATGCTAAATTACAGATTTCTGTTAAATCTTTTAAAAATTTACTCTTTTTTGTTTAGACCTCAAGAGACCTGATGATGAGAAAATAATCCAATGGTAAAGCACCAGTTTTCATTTTGCTTAGTAAATAATCTATTCAGGGAGTATACTTCTCCAGCCAAAGGATTAATAATTCTTTTGCAATGAGATATCTGTGAGAAAGAGGTTATCCTAACACATACAAAATAGATATGCAAGAATATTAAGGCAAGATTTGAGCAGGATTTAACATTTAGATGGGTACAGTCTATGAATTTAAATAATGACTAGACAGGAATTTCTAACAAGCATATGAAGGTTAGAAAGAAAGACAAGGGTTAATTGATTAACTGATCCTTTCATCTACAAATGCAAGGGGATCCAAAAAACAAGCCAAAGATCTAAAGACCTGAGAAACACAAAATTTTAATCGGAATATCTGAGACAACTCTGAAAAATAACTGTGAGCAATATATGAGACTGACCAAATAAAACAAAGTATAAAACAGAAATCATTATGCTCTATGGAAAATACATGTACACTAAGCCCAAGAAATAAATCTAAGTACTTCATGTCTGATGAGTTAATATAAAAACTTCCTTTTAATGGGGAAGATGCAGAATTTATATAACATGAAAAACAGTATAGGTACAGAACAAAACAAAGGCTAGGGATTGTGAATACCAAGAAAAATGATTATTTTGCTCTCATGCCCCTAGCACTAGGTTTCTTTATAATATTATCACTTTTCTGCTCAAAAGCCTTCAAAGGAATATCTTAGATTATATACTCACAGACATGGGTAAAGATATATTTGAAGGATATTTACTATAATGCTGTAACTGTAAAAGAATTAAATACTTCTATCAATAAGGAGTTGTCATTAGATTTTTAAGTTTATAGTAAGTTACTATGCCTTTGTTAAACAGAATGATGCAGGTCTGTATTAGCTTATCTGTTAAGTGAAAAGAGCAAGGCGAGGAAAACTGAGAGATCTTACTTATGATTAAAAAAGAGGAAGAATGATATATTTAATATCTGTTTATTCACTGAATATTTCTGGAAAAGTATATAAAGAAAATGATAACTGTATTTACTGTATTAGGTAAAGGGACTGGGGACCTGGGTTCAGAAATGGAGGAGTTATTTTTCACTGTATATCTATTGTTCCTCCTCAATGTCTACCATATGCATATATTAACAACAGTTAAATCAATAAAAATTGAAAGGTTTCTAATAGTTTGTTATTGTTAGAAATTACCCTTCAAAATATTTCACCAAATCTTCAGTTACCTTTAAGCATTTTGGAGTAGAGGCTCTGGCTCACTTGGTTTTATCAAAACTTTTTTTTTAATATTAGAATTCTACGGGAAATTTTGCTTGAAGAAGGGTTCCACTGCTTTGAAAAATGTCTACAAACTGCTTAAACAACTGGTTGAGTGGACATTTGTCTCATTCCAATATGTACTTAATGACATGGCCATCCATCCAACCCTATTTACCATGACTTCAAAATCTGAGACCTTATCTTCAAGAAGGAGTTACTTTCATTTTTTGCTGGTCTTTAATTCATAATTTCAAGCCTTAGAACAACTTATCTCTAACTAATTCCCATTCACTGCAAAGTACATCTTCCTAATTCTGCATTCCAAATACTCACATCCTGACAGGTGTAGTCAATCACCTTCTAGAAGATGCTGTAAATGATGCAATTTATTATCTACTATTCTCTTTTCAGTTTCCCTCTGGGTGCTCACTTCTCTTCTTTCCATCTTTATTTTTTAAAAGAGGAGATTTTACAAGTGAATAGGAACAAAATAAGACAAATATAAAGTGATTACCTCTACTGACATTAATAATTAGGAACCTACCTAGGACAGGGTTGAGAGTAACTAAATGATAAATTTAAAAGCTACAGTAAAAACATTTTCCCTTACAAAATCTAAAAGCTAATGGCATCGTAACCATCTTCTTCTTTCCTCCTTGCCACTGAATTAGAGAAAGTGGCCTTCTTCACTCCTTCAGCCTTACTAGTATCTGTTCATAGGTTACAACAATTATTCATAGGTTACTCTATTGGCCATTCCCTCTTTTCTGCAACTTCAGTCTACTGGGTTCCTTTCAATTGTTCCCACATCATTTGAAAGATTAAAAGTCTCTTTTTTTGACACTCCACTTTCATTTATCTATCTCATTTTTTTCTACTTTTATTTTTAGTTAAAATTATTAAAACTATCCAGGTTTCCATTTTTCTACTTTCCTTTGACAATTTCACTCACTTCAGTCTAGCCTTCTAAATTTCTGTAATATGTCATTGGATGAATTTAGTGCTAGAATCTCAATACTGTAACAAGAAATAAAAATTAAACAAAATCTAATGAAATGCACCTATGGCCCTGGCCAGAAATGGAGTCTAGAAAGAAGATGCAGAGTTCAACCAGGAGGTAAATGGAATTGTTGATACTAGTTGGTACTAATCTGAATGGGAAATTGCAAAGACAAATCAAATGGAAAATTTTATGAAATGCTATCTTTAATCTGGAAGGCAAATCAAGACATTCATCCCATTTGTGAGGTATACACTTGAAGTCCATTGGAGGGGATAAGCATGAGCAGGTGTATTCTCCTGATCCATCATATCCAATCCATCATCAAATTTTGTCAATTTTTACTTGCCCCGTAAATTCTACACTGATCCACTTTCCATCATCTCCATAGCCATCTCCCTATATTACTAACAGCTTTCCCCCAAAGAGTCAGCAAACTTACTCTATGGACAGCATTACAACTGGGATCCAAAATGCTCCTCCAAAGCCTCATTGTGTTGAAGGCTTGATTGCCAGCTGATGAGATGGATCATGAGGGCTCTAACTTTACCAGTAAATCAATCTATTGATAAGATCATGATTTGATGGGATTATTGGGTAACAGAAACTTCGTAGATGGAGCCTAATTGAAGGAAGTGGGTCATAACTGCTCCCTTCTTTGTTTCCAGCTACCCTGAGGTGAGTAGCTTTTCTCTCCAACCCTTCTGCCATGTTTTGGCCTCCCCATAGTCCAGAAGCAACAGTGCCAAGTGATGATGGAACGAAACCTCTGAAACTATAGGTAAAAAATAAATCTTTCCTCCTATTTTTTCCTCATGCTATTTGGTCTCAACTACTACAAGTAAACTAACACAGGCCTATTTTTGTAAATAAAATGTTACTTTTACCATAACAGCAGAATACTGTAGTTGTGACAAGACCATAATGCCTACAAAATCTAAAATATTACCTGATCCTTTAAGAATAAGTTTGCCAGTTGCTGCTCTATTGGCTGCTGGTAAGTTTCCTCACGGATTTTGATTACAAATTTAGCCCAGTACTCCTATGGCACTTTCCTGCTTAAACCTTTCAATATTACTGCAGAGTTATATTTAAGACAACACAAAATCACTGACAAGGTTCACAGAATTTTTTATTTACCTGTTTAGCCATGGATATCACATATTTGAATGTGCTCTTTTAGCTCAATATTTATGACCAAATAACATGACTATAACAAGAAAGAAGGAACTATAGACATATATTTTCATAATCAAAAATGCAACTATTTTCCTTCATATTCTTATCAATATGCTCCAAAAGAACTAAATAGATGAAAAATTACTTTAAAGATTAGGATGACAGAGATGGTAGTCCTATTGTCCTTTTGAATTTTTGTTTATATGTATATTTAATAATCTGGTAAAATTTAAAATACAATCACCAAATTTTCAGTGAGACAATTTTAATGAAGCTGTTTATTATGTAAGGCAAAATAAAACTGACCATACACTAGACATATTATAAAACATGGATACAAAAAACATCAGTTCAAAGTTATAGGACAAAAGTAAAAGATTCAGAAAATCACCAAAAAATAGACACACACACACACACATACACACACAAAGGATCAGAAATAAATGAACAGTTTAACAGTGGGTAAAAAAAATGAGAATGGATTTCAAACTTGACACTACCAGTATTGATAATATTGTTGCTTCGTATAACTTCTATTACTAGAAACCACCACCATCACTACACTATTTTATTAAGTGCCTACTATTTTTTTTTACAGGAACTATATAAGTATTTTTACCTCATTACCTTATACCATGTAAACCCCAAGTGTAATTATCTTCATAATTATTCACTGTAATCTTTACAAATGAGAAAACACAGATATAGAAAAGTAACTTGCCATATTCAAAAGGTGTTAGGTGTCAGAGACAAAAGTTTGGCGTTACTCTTTCCTTTATAAGAAATCATTTTATTATAATCTGTGCTAGTTAGGACAATATTAGAACATCATGTTGAGTTCTAGACACTCAGTCTTAAACAAACTTTAAAAAATCAAGGAAGAAGCAAAGTAGATCAGACACTGTGAACAATTAAAATGTGACAGGAAATAAGTTTTTTAAAAAATACAGTGAAGGGGTTGTAGCTCAGTGGTAGAGCTAAATGCCTCCATGAGTTCAGCATGGAAATGAACAGCAACAAAAAAGGGACCAAAAAGTCAAGCTCTGATTCAGCATTTTCTTCTAAAATACCTATAAAATCCTAGAAAAAGAAAACATAAAAACTATAAAAAATAAATCAGTTAATGACTCATCAAAGCCTGAGAATTTCCATAACCAAGTAAACATTTAATGAGGCTTATTAAATAATCTGAAATATCTATTCAAATGAGTATCACATAACTATTAAAATTTTATTTTCTAATATCATTCAACACAAGAAAACATTCATGACATAAACAGGAAAAGGCAATATAGATAACATAAACCCAGTATGATCTAATTTTATTTTTTAAAAAGTAAAAATACATGAATATGCTTAAATAAATAAGACTGAAATGAAATATACCAAATATTTAATACATAAAATACTAACAATGATTATCTTATAATGGTGAAATTATAAGATGAAATTTTAGAGGATTTCAATTTTTTATATTAAAAATTATTACAGAAAATTAATACACTAATTTTCTACTTTTTAAAAGAGGAAAACAACTTCAAACTTTAAATATGGCATAGAAAAATCCCAATCACAAGATGATCAACAACCAAATAAAACCTGTCCTTGAAAATATAGTACTTTAGGAAGATGACTCAATTATTTGACTAGGATGATCCAAAAGAGATGAATTAGTCACACCCTCTGGAGCTTCATTTCCAGTTACCACTGACAAAAAGAAACAAGATACAAATGACACTAAAAAGAAATACTTTTTCACTAAAAACCGTATGTATTTGGAGAACCAATGTATTATTTTGGCTTACACCAGCTTATTGTTCACTAATCAAAGGCAAAATCAAGTCATAAGGCCAATTTCTTTGCAACTATACTTTTCCCTTAACAATGAATGGAAGGCTCGCTAAGCTATAGAGAGATTTTTTTCCTTGACTCTGAGTATGTAATATGAATCAGTTGCTGATTATTGGAGTATGCATGAGCACACTTGAAACACATGTCAAATATAAAGTCTCAGTAATGAAATAGAACATCCAAACAAGAACTGGGTTGGAGATGTAGCTCAGTGGTAATAGTGCTTGCTTAGTAGGCATGAGGCCTTGAGGGCATGTGCGCACACGTGCTCACACTCACACACACACACACACACACACACCAGAGAAATTTTAGAATTGGAAAAAAGCAATTATTAAAAAGAAAGAGGGGCTAGGGATTTAGCTCAGCGGCAAAGCGCCTGCCTGGCAAGCGCAAGGTTGTGAGTTCGGTTCCCGGTACCAGAGAAAAAACAAAAAACAAAACAAAACAAAACAAAAAAACAAATAAAAAGAAAGAAAACACCTCACTGAGTGGACTCAATAACAAAATGAACTTGAAGACAGAATAGAAACTATCCAATCTGAACAACTCAGAGAATAAACACTGAAGAACAACAATAACTTAGGGACCTTTGAGTCAGTAACAAAACATTTATGTCAATAGAGCCTTGAAAAAAGAGTATAAAGGGGATGGCACTGAAAAAATGTTTGAATAAACAAGGGCTGAACATTTTCCATTTTGAGTTAATGATATAAAAACCCTAAAGATATCAGAAGCTGGGAAAACTTCAAACTGAATAAACTCAAAATTTTAATTTAGGGAAAAACAGACAATTTTTCACTAATTATGCCAGTTTAACAAAGGATTTAAGTTTTGTCTTGGAGGAAAAGAGTTACTAACTTTTGGGAAAGAATCAGGGAAATACAAATTTATTTCTGAAACTAAACTAAAACTTAGAATGACACCATGTTATTTCTGTCTTTTTAAAAAGTGAGTATCAGAAGTTGACTTCTTACTATGTTAATGATTTAGAAGGTAAGGAGTGGTAAAGCTGGCTGGAAAAGTAGGCAGGATCTGCCAATTGCAAGGCCCCAAGGCAGCACCAGATGATCTGAAGGACCTCATGCAGATCATTTTGCCAGTTCCCAGGAGATGTGGATGGCATAAAGAAGACTAGAAGTTACGAGCAACTTGCTATCTCGACTCCTTAGAGGAGCCCACTCTGCCTTTCATCATGAGATGCAGGGTGTACTTTTATTGTTACTTTTTATCCTTTTTCTCTTTGTTTGCTCTGCAGAGCTAGTTCTTCCCTTACCTTTTCACCCCTCATTTTCAAATAAACTTTTGGCACTGTCTTTGGCTTGCCTCATCCAATTCTTTGTTGAAGACAAAAAGGATCTGGATACTTTTCTTCCGCAAGCCACGTTCAAAGAACTACCCAACAACAGCAAAGTTTTTCTAAACTTGTGAAAAATTTCACAAATTCTAGGATTTTAAAATAATGTGTAGCAAACCCATATTTTAAGTGGTTCTTGAATACTAAATTTACCTATAGTGAAGAATTGTTAACTGAGAAAATATGGATCAAAATAGATAAAAAATATATCGCTAAAATACGGTAGTCAAATACCCTTGTTAAACTTTTCAATCCAAGCCTTAAGGAGAAGTCCAATTATTTTATACAGAATTTTATATTACAGTCATCCAAAATAGCATCAGAATATGCACAAACCCTGGAAGGTTACTAGTATAGGTGTGACTTATTTAACCTAAACTAAAGCTTATTAAAATAGAAATCAAATTTCTCTGATAACTATTATAGCTCTCTGATGCTGATGCTATAGCTAGGTATCATTCGTATCCTAATTTACTTCTTCATTTTTCTTCTTACCTCACAGGTCATCTAAGTATTCCTTCTCTCCTCAATAAACTCACCCTCTAAAAAATTCATTGTGATGACACATACTCATCCACCCTTCCCCATAGTAACAACAGAATTCAGCACAAACTCCTTAGGTTGATCTTATGGACTCACTCACTTCTCCAAACTTGCTTTTTTGTTGTTTTGATACTTTGTTTCAGTGCTGGGGACTGAACCCAGAACTTCATCTTGGCACATGCCATTTGTTTCATTTTTTGAGACAAAGTCTTGCTGTGTAGTTTACCTTTAGGCTGGCTTTGAACTCACTATGTAACCTAGGCTGGTCTTAAACTCAAGAGGATCCTCCTGCCCCAGCCTCCCCAGTGCAGGGATTTACAGGCATGAACCACCATGCCCAACTGACCATCTGGTTTTTGCACTATACTTTCGCAAATCCTTGTCTCAACTCCTGTTATAGTCCTCTCCTTACAATGTTCTTCAACCCTCCTCACATCTACATATCAAGTTCTGCCTGCTCTTCAAACCTATGCTAAAATGCCAGCCCATGGTTTACCTGCGTATCCACGCTGAAGTCACTGATCCCAAACACTTAGCACAGTCACTACAAACAACTTAAGGTCAGAGTTCCCACTGTACCTTTAAAAGGCATTTTATCAGTGCCTCTTTCACTGTACTTATATGTCATTCTGCTTACTATTGTGAACTTACATAAATTTGTCTAACAATCTATAAGCTTATAGGAATACAAATCATGTTTGTAGTATCTGACATTTCCCACAGAGCCTTAGGGGATCTTTGTCCAAAACAGTTACTTACTAAATATTTGTTGAATAAATGGAAATGCGTAACCATTTATTTATGAGCCCTAAATTAATACATCCTAATAAAACAAAAATATGACAAGAAAAACACAGTAATACAATATGTCAAATCCTGATATTCAAACTAGCATTCCATCAAATCTAAGAATGATCACAGATTTTACATTTCAAGGAAAATAAGGCAATAAAAATACTTGTGTTTCATTCTTTAATGACACAGTCACACTTTTTCAATTTAAACTCAGAACTACATGATTTTATTATATCATATCAAGTTTTACACCTATAATCCTTACTTTTAACCTGCCAAAAATCTCAGTTCTTTATCCTCTAAGTACTCAACACAGTTTTCTACTCCTAAGACTTAGTACAAAACCAGTAGCCTCAGAATAACAACAGCAATGGTAACCCAAGAAATAGATTTCTTTTTCTGATTTCACAGACTATATTCCATTAGGGATATATAATCAAACTACAATATACAGAATTTATTTTAAACTGGGTATTGTGGAACATGCCAGTAATTCTAGCTTGTCAGGAGCCTGAAGCAGCAGGACAAGTCTGAGTTCAAGGCCAGCCTGTGCAACTTAACAAGAACCTGTCTGAAAATAAACAAGAAGATCCGGGAGGAGTGTTGGAACACTTGCTTAGCATTTATGAGGTCCTGGGTTCAATCTCCAATAGCACCAAAAAAAAAAAAAAATTATTTTAAATAGTTTTACTTTGTATGGCCAGGCCTTCAACTATATGCAAATTCAGGTCCACTCATTAAATTGTATTACAATGTTTAAGGATAGCATTCTACTAGCCAGTAAGGAGTTTTGATAGATCAAAAATCAGTGTATCAATAACAATATATAAACTGGACTGTCCAATAGGGTAGCCATTAATTGTATGTATAGAATGTAATTAAAACTGAGTAAAATTTAAAGGTCAAACTAGCTATATTTCAAGTGCTCAATAGCTATTGCACCATCATTCCAGAAAATTTTATTGTACTGTACTGATCTAAATGGTACTATTTAATACTATTCTCCCAGACACTCAAATCTTGCTTAGTGAGGAAGCTTTTACATACTGAGTAACTAGACTGTTCAAATTTTTAAAGCATGAGTTGGCAGCTTTAGGGTATATATGGCATTATTTAAATACAAGAAGTGATCTGAGACAGCAGTTGTCCCTATGAAGAAACTGAAACTATTATCACACTGTATGCTTTCTTCACTGAGTATATTTACCATTAACAAAATATTGAGAATATCGCTAAATGAACTGGAGATTATTTGAGGTAAAGTTTAGCTTATTTATAAACTATTCACTTAGATTAATTAGAAGAAAATCTCAAATAACTTTCATTACATCTTTCATCACTTCTCAAATGTTTCCAAAAAAATAGCCTTAGTGTAAATCACAAATGTTTTGTCTTATTTGCAACATTGTCATTCCAGCTATTATTGGTAGAAGAAACCATGAACATATACTCTACATTTCAACATATTTCAAGATAACAAATTTAACAGAAAAAAGTAGAAAAAGAAGGAGATACAGGACTTTCCACTATGCTGATGACACTCTGTATAGAAAGGGTCTTCAAGAGCTAAAAGCAGCCAAAGTCTTGGTATTCCACACCTGTATACAAGTAGAACTTATACCAGAATTCCAAAAGAATCTGCTTAGTCAATGGGCAAAGCAAAGATACATACACAGTACTTAAATAATGCCATATGTGCCCTAAAGCTGCTAAATTTTTAAGTTCTTTCTGTTTATGGAAATGTGTGGTCCCAGTTGTGACAATATGTTAAAACTCATGGGTTATATCCTACTAAGTATCAGAAATCCATACAGTAGAATCAAAAAAATGTAAAATATTCTGGGTCATTGCTAAAGAAATTTTTAAAATATTCATCTATTTGGCTTTCCAATAATCTATGGCTTCAAAGGGAAGAGATTTAAAAATTCTTAAATCATACCAGCTGCTATATTATAATAACTACATATATATATATATTACTACAAGCAAATGTTTATTACTATATATACACAAATATGCTAGTACATATATATGTGTGTGTGTCTATAGATATACATATACAACTACACTAATAGAATCCAAGCTTTTTGTTCACAGTGTTGAATAGTTATCATAAATTGTTAGACTTCTTCTAGAGCTATGGAGCAAGTATTTTTAAACTTTGAAGTTTATGACAAAAAAAGAGGGGAATATTAAATTAGCTAGGCCCTTGGGATGTCACTTAAATGCTACTTTTTCTCTGTATACTCAGCTAATCAAGAATACATTTTTTAAAAGGCTATTTTACTCACTACAAATGATATTAGTTATACAAAGTTAACCATTTATGAAAACATCAGATGTTCATTTTTTCAGAAAGCATTTATTAAACCTTGAAACACGCTAGGTCCTTGATATATAATAAATAAGTCATCTTGCAGGTTTATGTTATAGGTTGGAGCAATGGTGGAAACTTAATGAAAACTGAATTAAACAGATTCTTACATGCAAGGGATTGAGCTATGTGATAGTTACCTTGGTGCCAGCTACTGGAAGATGGTCTAGATTCAGGAAACAGGGTGGTCTTGGGGGGGTGGTTCATATATAAAGATGAGCAAACAGAAATTAGAGGGAAAATAAGCAATGGGAAAAGAGTACACTTATTCTTTATTAATGACAAGGAATATCTATGTTAAAACTTACATATTTTCTTATACTAAAAATATAAATATATAATGTGAAAAATGCTTTATAAAGTCACTTTAGAGTCCAATATTAAATATAGATTTATAATTGTTTTATAATATACATTATAAAATTTATTTTCTAAAAATTTTATATTTATTATTCACCTACTTTTAAATTTTCATATCTACCGAGACCATATTGTAGGTATCTTATATTGCAGCAAAGTAAGAAAAACACAAAAGGTATCTGAAAAGAATTAGTTTAGAATTAATGTTACTAAAGTTACTGAAGTTAATGACAATGAAATGTGAGAATTTTGACATTTCAAGGAAAATTAAATAGGTGATCCATTATTTATGTGCTTAACAACAATTATTGAGAAATTTCTACAAAACTATATGATGGCTTAGTTGTTAGAATACCAAAATGAGGATCACAGTCATCATCTCATAATTCTCATTTTTAAATTTTCTTTGACTTTTTCCATTTCATATTATGCTCACTAAAATTCAACCCAAACCTAAGTTAGTATTATTTGGGTTTTTTTTCCTAGTAAGTAGAAATGTATGTCCTCACTTTATTAAATTCAGGCAATGTTTTTAAATACAAAGGAAAATAAGTCAACATCCTCACATACAACATACAATGTCTTGAACATGTATTGTACTATGATACAGTGGTAAGTTATGTTTTATTGCTACTGTTGTTTTCTCTGAGATATCTGAAATTTTTCACCTATCCTCTAACCATTTCAGGCCAAATGAGACATGAGGTAGTTTGAAAGAAAGGCTTAGGACATCGGGAGGCAAGACAGCAGCAGAGGAAACAAGAGGGTAGTCAAAATGGAGGTGGACAGATTGATAAAGATTTTGAAGAGAAGCAGCATCACACTACCAGGAAAAAAAAAAAAAGACCTTTTGTTTTATGTAAGTTTTAAGAGATGACAGTTCTTATGAAATTAAAGTTGTACTCTCCACTCCATCCAGGAAGAAGGAAGATCCATGATTACCCCTTTTGTTTTCCGTATCTGTTACTCATGCTTCCTGTTTATTTTTAATGAAGCTAATTCAGCAGGTAGAATTTCTTGCACACAGAATCCTTACCAATGGGTCAAAGCTATCAGAAATATAAAAATTAAGGATGAAGCTCTGTGACACAGCACCTACTTAGTTTGAACAAAGTAGTGAGTTCAATCCCCAGCAAAACTCTACCCTCAAACACACAAATCTGTCTTAAAGACGATCCAAAGAAACAATGGCTGGCCATAAATTTATAATGTATTACTTGCCTCTAAAAGATGCTATGATCTAATCAGATTTTCTGACATAGGCATTTTAACTGATAGAAGCAGAAAAAAATTGTTCATCTGGGAGATCATTGAAGCTATAGGTGTATGAATAAGTTAAAGAAAAAAATGGATTTAAAAAAAATGATGGCAAAGCATGCAAAGAGAAGCTGAGTGTTCCTGAGAGAGAGATGATCAGGGCTGGGGATACAGCTCAATGGCACAAGCACCTGCCTGGTAAGTGCAAGGTCCTGAGTTTGATTCCCAGTACCTAAAAAAAAAAAAAAAAGAGAGAGAGAGAGAGAGATTATTGGAGTATGGCTAATCGAAGGTGCTTTTTCTTAGACCTGCCTTTGTGATTTCGTTATATTCTCTGATACTTCTTTGTAGTGTTTGAAAACCTATCCTTTTGCTTGAATTTTTGTTCTGTGCTGGCAACCTGCGAAAGCCAAGAGAAAACTTCCTAACAAATGTCATGTGTGTTCTTGTCTTCTGTCATTATTCTTCATGTTATTTACACTGCTGAAACATATTTTGTTTTCCCTTCCCAAAATTCAAATACTATTTTGCTTCAAATATAGACTAAAGAGTCACTCTCCATAAAGTTATTTCTGACTAATCCTAGGCTGCATTTTCTCATCTTTGAATTACAGAGGCCTTAATCTTCTACACCAGAAGGTGGTAACTACATTGACCTTTTATTACTCTGTATTTGTTTTATGAATTCATTTTACTGTTTAATACACAGCCAGTATGTTCACCTAGTTTCTGAGTCAGTAAAATGGGATTAATTACACTTACTTCAAACAGCTATTATAAAAACAAGGCCTAGCAACTCCCCACTAGGTATTTTGTTCTTAATGTGTTGGCCCAGGACAATACAAAATGGAAAATATCTTTGCTCCTCTAAAGCTAAAGATAAAAGATGGGAAAAATAACTCAGAAAAAGTCAATATTACTTCTTCCATAAGTTAAGTGTGAGCAAAACTAAGTGTAAAATGTCAAAAAGATTTTATAAGCATGTTTCTTTCATAAGTAAACCTGCATACATGTCTAAGAATATATTAGGCTTGTGCTATGGTTTAGATCTAAAATGTTTACCTAAAAGTCTCATGTTCCCAGGTGGGACTTTTGGAAATTGACCAGATCTTGGGGGAACTACCTCATTAGTGTTTGCTCCACTGATGAGTTCACAGCTGACTGCTGTTTGGAGATAAAAATTGGTTAGAAGAGGCAAGTGACCGAAGATGTGACAAGAGAGGGTGTATTTTTTTTCTGGCTGTTCCCCTCCCTTTCCACTTCCTGGCTGCCATAGGGCGAACAGATTTCCTCTGCCATGCCCTTTTACAATTCCATTTCTGCCTTGGAGCTGGATGAGCATGCACTGAACCCACTGAGACTGTGAGCCAAAATGCATTCTTTAAATGCAGATGTCATGTATTTTGATCTATTCACACGAAAATTACTAACATGCCCTTGTTAATCTGGCCCTCAAAAGAGTATTGTCTTTGTAGCAGTTTTAGATAATAGTATGACCTAAAATTTTTAAATAAAGTGACCTTTTTATTTTAGGTTTTACATACTCAAATATTAAAACTACTTTTTTGGAGAAGTTAACATACTTTTTAACCTTCATTATACAAAAAATTCATTTTGTTCAGACTATAACTTTCCATTTTTTAGTAATTTATGGACAAATTTAATTGATAACCTCTTTATTCACTAACAACTGTTATAAATACTTCAGTCAGGTATGGTGGTACACTCCTGTAACCCCAGCATTTGGGAGGCTGAGGCAGGAGGATAACCATGAGTTTAAGGCCAACCAGGGCTACAGAGTGAGTTCAAGACCAGCCTGAACTGCATAGCAAGACCCTGTCTCAAAAAACCAAAGTAAGCAAATAAATACTTCTATTATTCTCTTAACTATAACATTTAGTCAAATTATGTATTCACTCACTTATCCTGTCAAATGTGCTCCATCCATTTGCTTCATAATTTTCATTATTTTCTGAACTGCAAACATGTGTCCATGTCTTAATATATAGATATGCCTAAATATTATTATACCCTTAGTTTTTATTTGGAAGAATCAAGAGTCTCTGTTACAGTGCTCAGAGAGAAATTATATTACAAAGCCCTTAGTATACATTCCAAACATGTTTTAACATGACCTGTATTAAATACCTGAAAATATTATTTAGGGGCTGGGGATTTAGCTCAGCGGCAAAGTGCCTGCCTGGCAAGCGCAAGGTCGTGAGTTCGGTTCCTGGTACCGGAGAAAAACCAAAAAAAA